GGGGGGGGGGGGGGGGGAGGCTCTTGGTACAGGAACGGATTATAGTGCCATCAATGTGACATGCCTATACTAAATGACTTTTGACTTTTTCCATTCTTTATAATACATATATTAGTAATATTTTAGTTGGACAATGTGGTAAAATAAATGTGATCATACTATATTGAACTTTCTTTTGCCGGCTGAGATCGAGTTTCAACAAATATAAAACTAATGTTTATATTCAGAAAAAAGTATGCATTTTAACAACACATCTATATTTTAAAAACTGGAAAGAAAACAGATTTTGGGAATATCATTTGTAGTTTATATTTTCTAGTGAACTACGGTACTCTATTTTGGTGTAGTAACAATTCCATGATAACTGTTTCTGAAAATCGAAATAAAACTGTTAACAATGCAACGAAATTCACTCTAGTTTCACTCGAATTTTGAATTCCAGACAATATCTGCATTTTATTTTTGGATATTTTATTTCAAGACCACTACCTACACTGAGAACCAACAGTTTGAAGTTTAGACTAGTGAGAATCTACCACAAAGGACGTGTATTTCAAGACCACTGCCTACACTGAGAACCAACAGTTTGAAGTTTAGACTACTGAGAATCTACCACAAAGGACGTGTATTTCAAGACCACTACCAACACTGAGAACCCAACAGTTTGAAGTTTAGACTAGTGAGAATCTACCACAAAGGACGTGTATTTCAAGACCACTACCTACACTGAGAACCAACAGTTTGAAGTTTAGACTAGCGAGAACAAAGGACGTGTATTTCAAGACCACTACCTACACTGAGAACCAACAGTTTGAAGTTTAGACTAGTGAGAATCTACCACAAAGGACGTGTATTTCAAGACCACTACCTACACTGAGAACCAACAGTTTGAAGTTTGGACTAGTGAGAATCTACCACAAAGGACGTGTATTTCAAGACCACTATCTACACTGAGAACCAACAGTTTGAAGTTTAGACTAGTGAGAATCTACCACAAAGGACGTGTATTTCAAGACCACTACCAACACTGAGAACCCAACAGTTTAAAGATTAGACTAGTGGGAATTTATAGACTTTATATGGCACTCATTGACTTAAAAGAACTAAAAGATATATTTACAGGTCTATTTTGAAACATGAAACTGTGTAATAATAATAATAATCTTTATTCATCAAAATACCAATACAAGCACATATGAAATTACATACAATAAAAGATACAAAGCGTATCTATATGTGATAGTTGTTATAAGATATAATATTATAAAAAGTGCATTAACATTTTTTATATCATGAATGAAGATATGCATGATTACATAATGCACTGATTATCATATAATAGAAGAATATCATGAAAATATTTTGCTACTATTTTCATGATAGATTTATCATGTATATTAAAAATATATAAGAATAAATTATTTGTACCAAATAGGCGGAAAGAACTATTGATACCATATAACTCGTTTAAAAAAATATTTCGAGTTTCTGAAATTTTTTGGTTGGA